GAGTATTCTCACATGAACAGAGTTTTTGTAGCGTTCGAGCCTCATCCAAATTCAGCAAACCAGATTAAATGTGGTTATTGTTATATATGGGACATGTGTCTGTATTCACTTCCTTGTGTAAACTCTTTTTAAACTCTGTTAAGACTTCAAGTCTGCTTCTTTTCTCTGTAAAAGCATGTTCCTACAGTATGCACATTTTTAGGCTTCCATGTGAAGGAACAAGCAGCTCAGAGCAAAAACAAGATCATTGCTGCTGATTGCCCTATGCTCACAGAATTCTAGAAAATGTTTGATAAGATATATAGCTATAATTTTTTGACAAGCTAGAACAGCTGTAACATGTTCTGTGTGAAGGAACAAGCAAATCAGAGCAAAAGCAATTGCCTTATCTTGGACAAATTTCCAGAAAAGTATTGATAAGCTAATTTCAGCTGCAATGTGTTTTTTTGTAGAAGTGGTTGTACTTCACAGGTAAATCGCTCTATCCTAACCTCAGTGTAAAATAGGCAATTCATTAGTTCATGCAATTCATTCGTGGGTGATTAATTCCCCCCCACCCCCCACCCTCCCGCTGCCCCCCACAGTTATCAGGGAAACATGAAAAAAATTGTTAAAAGATTTTACCTGTGCAGTTTTCATTTATTGTCTTGTTATCCTTTCAAGAAAATAAATTGTGGCAAACTAAAATATTCTTCGCATGGCTTCTGTTCCGTGGACCATTCAATCCTCCTCCACCTCCTCTCCTCCCACCTCAACCTTCAAGGTTCTGTCCTTGACTGGCTCAGGTCCTAGCTTTCACACCGCCTCCACTTTGTCTCTGCAAACGGCTTCTCCTCCAGCCCCCGCACCGTCTTGTGTGGCGTTCCTCATGGCTCTGTCCTCGGTCCTCCTCTTCACCCTCTACATAACAATAATAAAATACAATAATGGTCATTTTCAATCTACGACTGTTTGTGGGACATTGCTGTGCGCAATTGGCTGCTGCGTTCGCCCACAAATATACAGTCAATTCACTTTGCAGTATGTTCTGTGAAGCACTTTGGGACGTCCTCCCGACGTGAAAAGCGCTATATCAAATGCAAGGATTATTATTATTATTATTATTACCTTTCTGCCTCCACCCTCAACTCCAGGACTACTGGTGTCCTGACTGACTGCCTGTCCGACATCAAGTCCTGAACGAGGGACAACTTTCTCCAACTGAACGTCAGCAAGACCGAGGCCCTCCTGATTGGCTCACGCCAGCGCCTCTGCACCTTGGGCGCTGGCAGGTTCAGCCTCCATAGCTGCACACTCACCCTCACTATGCCAGTCAGGAACCTGGGTGTCTTGTTTGACCCTGAACTGTCCTTTCTCCCCCATATCCGCGCCATAACTGGCACTGCCTACCACTACCTCCTCAACATTGCCAGACTCTGTCATTGCCTCACCCCTCAGGCTGCCAAAACCCTTATCCATGCATTCGTCACATCAAGGCTCGTTTACAGAAACTCCCTCCTCATCGGCCTTCCCAACTCTTCCCTTCACAGGCTGCAGATCATCCAAAACTTTGCAGCTCGTGTACTCTCGCTCACCAGGCTCCGTGACCCCATCACTCTCATCTTCACCCGACTCCACTGGCTCCCCATCCCCCAGAGGATCGAGTTCAAGATCATCATCCTTACTTGCCCCCTCCTATCTCTCTGACCTACCTACTCCCTACCAACCTGCCCGCTCCACCCGTTCAGCGGGCTCCGGTCTGCTCCATGTCTTCCACCCGACCCGCCCTACTATCGGTGGCTGGGCTTTCAGCCTCTCTGCCCCCACACTCTGGAACTCCATCCCACAGTCCCTTCGCCTCGCTTCTTCCCTTGCCTCTCTCAAGGCCAATCTCAAGACCCTTCTCTTCGATCATGCCTTTGGTTGCCCTCCCACCGCTCTGCCTTCCCTCACCCCTACACCACTCCTCTCCCATGCTCAGGCCCCGACACCTGACTGTTCAGCACTTTGGGACGACCTCCCGACGTGAAAGGTGCTCTATAAATGTAATTTTGTTGTTGTTGTTCATTCACACTCTTTCTTCTCAGGTTCTGTACTCTCGCACTCTGTACATTTGAACACTACTCTCACACACTGTATTCTTAAATGTTGTACTCCCACAGTCAGTATTTTTGCATATGCTAATCTTGCAGAAGATGTCGGAGCTCTTTTAGAAGAGGCAAAACAACCCTGTGGTTAACCCCCATTCCAGTAAGTTCCTATCCAGATAAATATAAGCAATTATATATGGTTCTAGAATGAGGAAGCTAATTTTGTAAACATTAGGAGTTGATATGATCCGTTTGGACAATTTAAAAAAACAATCCCTCATTTTTATAATTACATTTAATCCTTTGGACTCCTCCTTTCCCGTCATGATACACACCTTTCCTGAGCTAAAAAGTGAGGGAGATGAATTTTCCCTAGGCCTCTGCAGATATTTCTCTCTAACCAGTTACCAGGAGGTTGCATAATAGTATCTGACTCCAACTGTCTACCTGCATGTAAGAGGATCTAATTATCCCTCCCTTCCATTGGAGGGAATGCCTTGCTTTTTTTCCTCCCCATCTTTCATCTACTCCTGCCAGCTGAGATCAGAAGCTCGCCATTAAGGTAATTGTGATTTGCTTCTATACTCTGAAGATGAAAGTATGACCTTGAAAATAGCAAGCAGCTGGAGTGTACATGTATGTTTTGTGATTTCCCCCCCCCACTCCTTTCTGCTTTGCTGTCTCTATGTGACCCCCTCCCCAATCAAAAATGCAAACAGGAAAGAGTCCTCATTTGGGTGTCGGGAGCTGTACTAAAGCAGCTTGGGATGACTCCTCCATTAATTTTTTTTCCTTCATTTCTAGCCCGACCTCAGGTTAGCTTGGGTATCAGGTTCATTGCATGAAACCATTATCCATATTATTGTCATATTCCGAAAGCACTGCTTGATTTTTATATATAGATATAGATGTATATTGTATTTAAATATACATAATATGCATATAAAATTGCCAAAAGCACAATTATTTATTTTCCAAGTTGATTTTTAAAATTTATACAGGTATTTATTTGTATTTTGATTTTTACATCTGGTCTATAAGGTGGCTGCAAGAGAGATCAGCAATAAAAGGCATGTTTAGGTATGCAAGATTCTACAGTATGATTCAAACAGCCATGCGCATACTTTAAAGTCCAGACCTTTGCAGTGATTTAGATCTCAAACACCAGGGGCAAGTTTGGAGTTCAATGTTCAAGGGTTCCAAAACAAGTGGTGGGTTTTGGAGAATAACGTGGGGATCAGCCTGGAGGCTGGAGTGTCAGCCTAGATAATGAGCTCAAGTCCTGGTTTGGGGCTTGAACCCACAATCTTGTGACTTCGAGGTAAGAATGCTGTCAACTTAGTCAGACACTGAGCCACTGTAATCATCTGTTCATCTGTTTGGAATATTCAATGCTGATACTTGGTTCCAAAAGTGGAAAAGTAGTGTGTTTCCCATCACTGACATCCCAAAGTCAAATTTACCAAATATTGTAATATGAAGAGATTAGTAACTGGCAGTGGGGGTTGAAATAGGGAATGTCTCAAAAATAGCAGCATCAATAATGTCTTGAACTGGAAAACATGGTCAGGATTTTCCTGCAGACTTTTCCACCTGGGTCAGGCTAATTTGCAAGAACTTTGATCCAAAGAAAACACACCTTCCTTATGTCACATTCAACCTTACAGACAGGTTCAATCCCCGGTCTATGCTGAGTTCATAGATCTGTCTGCAGCACAGGAATTTTTAGTTTTTCTCAGTTTTCAGCGAGGGTGGCATAAAAAATATCCAATGTTCTTCCTCTCCTCGTTGCTACTCAGTGATCCTCGCTGATGTGTGGGTGGGTGGGTGGGTGGGTGGGTGGATGGGTGTATATAGGGCAAGACATTTGGGCAACGTGCTCAATAATAGTTGCCACCTGTGGAAATGTACCATCAAAAGAAGGAAGGTGGATAGTTCTTCTTTAAACAATAATAATAAATCTTCTATTTGATATAGTGCCTTATCACATTGAAACTTTTCAATGCGCCTCATAGAGCTTTCTGTAAAGTTTAGTGACGGTACATTTCTAGCTTAAATTGAAACTTGTATTCTAAATAAGTTAAATAAACTATTTGCATCTCTGAATGTTAATTGTTAAAAAATAAAATATATGTAGTACTATTTGGAATAACCATAGACTCATCTGCTTCTTTTGATTGTCCCTTGCAATATGTTAAATATTGTGTCCTACAATTCTTTTGCCACCTTCACATTATCTGTGTACATCAAACCAGCCAGACAAATAACCCATATCCTTGTGAGTTTTACATGTAGTTTGGACTTTTGATTAGTTGCACTATTGAGATCTCTGCCTTCTCTTTTCAATACAAAAGTAAACATGAAAATCCAAAAAATATACTAGGCAGCCAGAATACATTTAATATTTCAATACTATGCAGCAAACAAAATCAGATTAGTTTTATGGTTGCTGTCTCTGCAGCTGCATGATAACTGTAGTCAGTGTCTTAGAACTATTTGCTTATAACAGTTGTATTTTTATGCATCTACGACGCATACCACATCCCCCAGCCCATGTCATTATCACCCATTATATAATCCTTTAACCCAGGTGAGCCAGGCACCATCACTCAGTGATTGCCTCTTGAATCTGCATTATTGGGGCATCACCACTTAATGAAAGCTCAGCCCCAGAAGTGGTCTTTACAGATGAGTTTCCTTGGTTACATATTTTCAATTTGTTCAAGGAAATTGAATGAAGAATGGTTTTGTCTCTGGCACCTGTAATTTTCTATAACGAGTGTAGTACTTTTGTCACCTAACATATATTTTCTTGCATGTTCATTCTGGTGGAAAACAACTGGAAATTCAGTGTTTTTAAGAGTTGTAAATGTTAAATTTTGTTGGCAGGAAGATGATTGTCTTAATGTCTTTTGTTTTCTTCCATATTAGGCTGCACAATGCATTTGATCCCAGCCATCCTGTTTTTGTCCTGACATTCCTGCATGTTATGACAGCTCCACTTCACGGACTGGCCAATGCCATTGTGTTTGGATTTGACAGGGAGACCTGGAGTCAGTTGAGCTTCACATCTCTTCAGGTAACATTTACTGATCAGTCACACGTGCTGTGGTTGCTTTAAAATGGTCTCTGTTCAAAGATATTAATTATTATAAATGTGTATATTTTGGCAAAATCTAAAACGCATTAGTCAGATTTATTGAATAGATGGCAACAGTTGTGTTGCAAGACTGATCTTTGTTCATGTTTTGGAAAAGCATAACTTATGAGCACAATAAACACAACTGAGTTATGGTGATGTTTGACTTGAGTCAAAGGATTTTGAATGCCCCAACAGTGGGGTGATTTTTGTGCAAAACTGTTAACTTGTAGTTCACTGAATGAACTGTGGTTTCTAATTTGTTGTAGTAAATTAGCATGTCCCTGTTCGATGAAATTATCAACACCAATGAAATTTATAGATTTCTTCTTTCACCTCACTTTATTGTTGCATCAATTTAAAAGCTGAACTTTGGACGTCTTTGGGAGTGAGTGTACAATTGATGTTTTTGATCATAATATAAAGTGCATCTTTCATAAGATAAGAGCACACCTGTGAGATACAACTGAGGCACACCTTACACAAGTGTACTACTACTAATAATAATAATCCTTGCATTTGATATAGCGCTTTTCACGTCTTCTAGACATCTCAAAGCGCTTCACAGAATATGCTGTAAAGTGAATTGACTGTATATTTGTGGGCGAAACGCGGCAGCCAATTGCGCACAGCAGTGTCCCACAAACAGTCGTGGATTGAAAATGACCAATTTATTATCGTTTTTGTTTTTTGGAGGGATTATTATTAGGCAGGTGGAGCAAGGAAACTTGCCCAAGGTTTCGCCCTGCCTGGAATTGAACCCAGGTGTCTCGCTTGCAAGGCGATGGCTCTAACCACTGAGCTACAGGACTCCACAGGACTCTACTAATTGTGGACATGCTTCCAGTAGCTTTGTATCCCCTCTAATAGCTTGCTCACTTAGCTATTTTTCATAAAACAACAACAACTTGCATTTATATAGTGTCCCAGAACACTTAGCGCTTCATACACAAGATCAGAAAGTGCTCACTAGCTGTGTTCTTGGTATAAGGCCATTACTTCTTTTTACTGAATATAATTCCACGGGAGCTTGTCTCTGTCAGGTTATTAAAGCAGGAACATCACAGCTGAGTTCAATGCAGTCTTTATTTAACATCTTGACTAGTGGTGGCCAATCTTTTAGGTTGGCCAACAAAACACATTTTCTTGATTGAATGTTTCTTGATTTCTGCTATAAATCAAAAAATATTAAATCAAGACAAACCTGGAAACAAACTACTGATTGATGCATTGTGAATGCTGGGGGGCTTCTTGACGGCCCCATGGGCTGGAACCGGTCTGCGGGCTGCAGTTTGGCTGGCACTGATCCAGACATAAGCACCTTATTCAGGAGTTAATGGTAGATAATGATCAGCATCACTGGCTAAATTTCTGCTTCCAAACCCAGGGTCATGAGGCCAAATGTAGTTTCCCACATGCTGCCCTGGCTGAATTAAGTTAACAGCACAGACTGGGATTTGAATCTGCATTCTTCTGCTCCTTATAGCCTAATCCTGTGTTGAGTCGTACCTTTACTACAGGATATTAATAGATAGTCATCCTTATTGAAAACATTATTAAGCTATAGGAAGTGTAGGACTTGGAACTCAAGTATGATTGTCCTGATTCTTTGGTGCTTTCAGCAATTATTGGTCAAATCTGTGAGCCATTTGCCCTGGATACAGTATTGCAGGCTGTTATATGCATAAAAAACACATATCAATACAAAATTACATTTGTAATGCGCCTTTCACATCGGGAGGATATCCCAAGGTACTGTATGGTCAGGGATTAGGATTCAAGCTGGAGGGGTGCGGAGTTGGGACCAGGGAGGGTGGAGGGCAGAGAGTGTAGGAGGGGGGCGAAGGCACAGTCAAAGAGGAGGGTCTTGAGGCGTGCCTTGAAGGAGGCAAGGGAGGGAGCGAGGCGAAGGGAATGTGGGATGGAGTTCAGAGGGTGGGGGCAGAGATGCTGAAGGCCGAACCGCCAATGGTGAGGCAGGCCGGGTGGAGGACTTGGAGCAGGCCTGAGCCTGCTGAGTGGACAGGTTGCTAAAGGATTAGCAGGTCGAAGTAGGAGGGGGCAAGGCTATGGAAGGCCTTCAAGGTGAGTATGGCTCTCATCCAAGACATGATGTCTGACAGGCAGTCCGTCAGGACATCAATAGTCCTGGAGTCGAGGGTAAATGCAGAAAGATAGAGTGTGTAATGTGTGTAATCCACGTACATGTGGAAGTTGACCCCATGTGTGCGGATGATATCACCAAGACGGAGCATGTACAGGTTGAAGAGAGGATCGTGGACAGACCTGAAGAACACGAGACGGTGCGGGGACTGGAGGAGAAGCCATTTGTGGAGACAAAGTGGAGCCGGTGTAAGAGATAGGATCTGAACCATTCAAGGACAGAACCTTGAAGGTTGAAGTGAGAGGAGAGACAGTGTCGAAGGCAGCAGAGAGATCGAAGAGGACGAGGAGACAGAGGGAGCCAATAGTCACAGGTGGACAAAATATCATTTGTCACCTTGACCAGGGCTGTTTCCATGCTGTGGACAGTAAAGGGAGTGGCAGGAGAGGAAGGAGTGAAGCTGGGAAGCAACAACTCTTTCATGGACCTTGAAAAGGAACGGGAGATTGGAGGTAGGGTGGTAGTTTGTGACCAGGGATGGGTCCAGGGTTCATATTATTGAATTACAGCAGTAACTCACTAGATTAATGAACAAAGTATCTAATATATTCTAATGCAAAGTAAAGCACCACAGCGACCTAAATTAACTAGAATTTCAATACACACGAATACTAGCATACATAATCCAGTTTTAACAACCCATCATTGATCCCATCAATACTATAGTAAGTAACTAGCCTGGGACCACGGATCAGTTTTATCCCACACCTTTAACTTGCAGTGTTGCAATTAATGAGAACTGAGCCTTCAGTGGTAGCATTGTCGATTGAAATACACCGTTGCCTCCTGATGTGATTACCACCACTTCCCAAGTTAGATATTCTTCTGATAGTGGCTCTTCATCCCAATTCCAGAGAGGGCAGTAAACAGAATACCAAGTTAAATGGATGCCGCATATTAAACTGGGCACTACAGAATGGACTGAGCACTGTGTGTTTCTAGCCTTTCCCGTCTAGCATTGTTGAGCAGCACCTATTGCTGGCCTGAGATTTTGCTGAAGGTCTGCAGCCAGAAAATGTTGAGCAGGGACTTGATAACTACTGCATCATGTGTGTCAGTGCTTTCAATGTTCCAACAGTTTTTGAAATGTTATTTCCAAAGAAAAACTGGTCAGATTCCAGACATCTCAGGCTAGTTGAAAACTGCTTCTATTTGAATGGATTGTTTAGTATTTTCTTAGCTAAATGCAGCATTAGTAATTCACACCTGTTCTTCATACATGGAGTCCTGTAGCTCAGTGGTTAGAGTACTCGCCTCGCAAGCAAGAAACTTGGGTTCGATTCCTGGCAGGGCGAAACATTGGGCAAGTTTCCTTACTCCACACGCCTCTGTTTACCTAGAAGTAAGTAGAAACCTGGTTGTTAGTCGATTGGCGGATCGCGTTTCTGGGGATAATAATTCCTTCCAAACAAAAATTGGTCACTTCAATCCACGACTGTTTGTTGAACACTGTTGTGTGCAATTGACTGCCGCATTTTGCCCACAGTCAATTCACTTTACAGTATATCCTGTGAAGTGCTTTGAGACGTCTCGAAGATGTGTTAAGGCGCTACATCAAATGCAAGGATTATTGTTATAATTTCTACAACTTCTTCTTTCATCAACTAACATCCTCACAGTACCACTGCGTTTATTCATTATTTTTGATGAATTTCTTCTTGTCCAACCCATTAAAGCATGAAGGGCACTATACAAATGCAAGTTGTTGTTCTAGTTGTTCTCTTCATTCGGTTCTTATAAAGCTGTTCAAATACATGATTTATTCCAGTAATTTTATGTATGATACTGCACCCATCTTGAAACACTTTCCTTTTTAAAATAAAATTCCTAAAATCATAACCAGGTTAAGAAATCATTTTAACAGACAGTATTACGGTATTTTGTAAATATTTGGATTCCAGGCGCTGGATATATGAACGCGTGTTCATGAATTCGGACTCCAGGTAACGCCTTCCAGCAACTATCGTCCCAAGCCTCAGAGTTTCCTCATCAGCTGTCTGCATTTCCTCTTCAGCGTTTGCTGAGGAAAGTCTGAGGTTTGGACCAACAGCTGCTGGAAGGCGTTATTTGGAGTCCGAGTTCATGAAAACACATTCGTACATCCAGCGCCTGGAATCCACCTTGATTGGTTTGCAGAGCCTTAATCAGGCAGGGTTGTCCTAGCTGGAAAAGCAGCAGGAAAGCTTGCCAGGCAGTGCTCTCATGGCAAGCTATGCACTTTTAGCTGGTTCAACTCCAGGAGTTCCCCAACAAACACTCCCCAAGCTTTGGCTCTTGCCAACCTGCGCCGAATACTTTATGGAATTAGGTAAGCAGGATACGTCCCTCCAGGGAGAAAGTGCATATTCTATTCCAATAAACATTCCATACATAGGTGGTATGCGTGGAACTTTCAGCTTGGCTTGGATACTCTTAGGCATGGTGATGGTTTTCCACATGTGTCAGACACCCGGCTGACCAAAAAATATATATTTTTATGCCCTTTTAACTATTAGGCATTTGACATGTTTTAAACTTTTAAGTTCGCGGAAACCTTTGCTAAACTTGCAGATGATAGCTTTTGACCTCAAAGGAGGTAACCTTTCAGTCGTTCCCTGATTAACATATACCTTTTTTCCCAGCTTGCTTTCCAGTCCCGATTTTCTGATACAACACTGATTAAGGAGTACCAACCAGGGTCAGTACGCTACATGACCCGCCTGAAAAGTGATTCCTCAGACTCGTTTGATGATAGCACAATTTATTCATCCACCATGGCTTCTAAGGACGGGGAACCCTGACAGCTCAGAACACCCTGCGAATAAGCATGTGTACTGCTGGACTCTTAAACAAAGGAAGAACTGTGACATTGGAGATGAATTGTCAACCCTCATTATTACTTCCAGTCGCTTAATATTTAATCGCTATAAAACTGTGCAGAGACTTCAAACTTGTAGAGGATGCACTGAGCTAAACACATCACTTAAAGAGACCACATTACTTTCAGTTGTCTGTCCTTCAAACGTCAAGATAAATTATGAAAGAAAAACATAACTTTAAATAAAGAACTTTGAACATTTAGGTAATAACTTTTAACTGAAAAGTTTAAAATCTAATCTATTCCTTAAATTTCATTTCAGAGATGAAATTAATTTTGCATCCTTTGCTGAGGGCAATGTATTTTTTAAAGTGTTTTGGTTTAAGTTGATTTTAAATGTTTTTAGCTCAGTATATCCTTAATTTAGCTGCTTACTAGACTATCTAGTGTTTTAGATGTTGGCACAATGTGGTACAATAGTGAGTAAAACTTACGTGTCTTTCCTCGATGTGTATGTGCATGAAGTGAAACACACAGCAGAAGATCCTTGAGTGCTGAAGCAGCAGAAATCATTGCTAATCATGTGGTGTTGGTATTAGGAGTATCGAGGTGCCTTGTACTATTGTCTTCTTTCTTTTGGTTTTTTACATTTATATATAACAGTAGTATTCAGAACTGCAGCCTTCCAACAAAAAACTCTACATAAGTGCAATTCATTGAAAAAAAAATTCATTGAGAATCATCGTTTACTTAATTTCATGTCTTAGAATTTGATTCAGTGCTTCTGTAGAATAATAATAATCCTTGCATTTGATATAGCGCCTTATCACGTCTTTGAGACATCTCAAAGCGCTTCACAGAATATACTGTAAAGTGAATTGACTGTATATTTTGTGGGTGAAACGCGGCAGCCAAGAATGTTTATTAGTTGTAAGTCATGTATATGTTGCAGATCTGAGGTGCACAATGCCATTGGTGGAATGCTGCATCAGGATACCGAGAGGCTGTGAAAAGGCACTGCCCTACAGAGAGACAGGGAAATCAGGTTAATACAGACGCAGCACCTTTGGGCAGTTTGAAGCACGCTTAACTTTGGGATTAACCAGCAGGAGGGATGATTCAAGTGGCACTAGGTAATTTACTACAATTTAGTTTCTCCTCTCAAATAATATGTTCTACAATGTCTCATCTTTCCAGGCATACAGTGTTCCAATTAACAACCTACTTGAGTGCTAATAAAATGCCAACTATGATAATACAGATGTTTAAAATATTACACAGGCTGTTGTTAAAGTGGATGTAACAGTTCTGGAAGAGTATTGTGTACACTGTTGTCAGTCTCATGACTGTTGCAAGTTGTTTGATTCTCAGTTTGAAAAACCTCTGCCTCTGCATTATGAAACAGTGTAATTTATCCACGGTCCTTAGAAAAAGAGATACTGCTCTTTCATCACTGTTGTTTATGAAGTAGTTTTACTGTCACTGAGAGTGGTACAAATGCATCTTTATCATGTAATTCTCTCTCAACCAGTAACAGAAAATAGATTGAGAAGGAAATGAAAAATAGTAAAAAGTAAAAGGCAAAGAAGTGGGAACCTCACAAGATGGAAGGCATAATGCCAACCTTCATGTTTTCCTGAAGCATTGTCCCCTTTAACTCCTTTCAGCAATCATCCCAAGTCTCAGTCTTTGTTTCCTTCCAAAATGGATTGTAATTTTCTTAAAAATGTTACATTTTTTCAGTCAGATTTAACCTGTAAATTGGTGAAAGGAAGATTCAAAATGTACATTTTATTTTTAAAAATGCTTTAACGCTTGTTGTGGGTTGCATTGCTGGATTTAAAGGTTTGTATTATGCTGCAAATGGAGGCCCTCAGGCTTCAGAGAAGACTTAAGACCTGCATAATAAGAAGTAGAGAGCGATTGGTCAAATGTTACAAAACATTTATAGAACCATGAAGGTTGAACATCCTATTAATAACAAATCTCACTTTAACCACTCATTGCTGCAGTGGTAAAAAGTCTAAGACTCTGAAGCAAACTTATTAATTACATTTTGATTGAAAGTCAACTGCTCTCAATGGAGTAGTTTTCCTATTTCGCAGGCCGATTGACAGATTGAGCGCCACCATTCAGGACCATTCCTTCCCCCAAAGCAACAAACTAGACTGTCAGAGAGTCACTGATGGAAATTGAAGATGCCCTCAGCTCAAACATTCTGCTCTCACACCTGAAAAATAAGTCTAGGAAGAAGAAGTAACAAAAGGAACCTAAGAAATTTAAGTTATACAGCAAAAATACAGTCTGTTTTTTAAAGTATAAAATAATTTCAACCTGGTGCGTTACTCTTTTATTATGGCCATATTTTCAAAAGAGAGAAATATGCCATTTTGGCTTAGTAACAACTAATTTAAATGTGTTGCATGTTTCAAGGCTAGATGAACGTATTGCATATAAATTGATCATTTCCCCCAAAGGGTATTAAATACAGGCTGAGTAGACCAAACAAAAACGGTCATTGCAAACTTTTATACTTGTTGACATGCAGGTAGACCTTGAATCATTATAATCAGATATAACTGAGCAACCATAATTCAATTTATAGTTTTTACCCTTTCAGCCTGCTCACCACCACAAATCCTCCATTAACAAATAGAAATGAACAGTCTGGGTACCAGTTTCTTCACAAGCATCCTAAGTTTCACTGTATAAACAGTCACATGATCAGATTAATCAATATGCCCTTTTTTCTCTCCCTAATGCTATCCTGGGATGTTCCCTCTGCCCAAAAACCAATGAAACTTCCCCTTTGTGGCAATCAGTTCGACTGGCAGGAATGTCTGTGACACAGACCCCGTATCTTACAGTTGAGGATCAAACACTCAAAGGTGTGAGTTATCAGGCCACACGCGAGCCACAGTGGTTGGGCCACATAAACTAAGGGAATATTTGTTTAAATAATGGAAATTACTTCTCCCTTTAGCATCTGTCTATCCACCCAAACCAAACTGTGCTATAACCATTCTTGCCAATATCCCCAATGTTCCTTTATAATTTTTTCAGTGCAAAGGTATAAGTTTAATGGAACATGAATGTAAACACCTAGACTTTGATATTTGAAATGCTTCCAGTAAAATTTAAGTGGAATCCAATTAGACTGACCGTATAGACCAATGGCTTCTGGTCTGATTTGCAGGAGCTTCACTCTGGGAAAGACTCTGGGATAGAAAAGATTAAGAATGTTATTTTATAGAAAAGAATGGTCTATGGCCATCCAAACTTAGAGAAAGAGAATAACTGTGTTGGTAGGACACTTATTATTAGAAGTGCAAAGATGATTTCTTTTCCTTCATTAAAATCTGAAATGCTGTACACTGTCCAGCACCTTGGGATGTCTTGTAGACGGAAAGGCGTTATACAAATGTAATCTTGTTGTTGTTGTTGGTGTCGTCCATTTAAATGCTGACCTTTCACTTTTGGAACCGGGGTTTGAATTCAATCCAGGTTAATGTAATGGGTTTGACAACCTGTTTGACAATTTTAAGGGTCATAAATGAATGAGTTTGAAAATTGTTATGGATACAAAAAAATTTAACTTGCCCCTTGAGATGAGAAATTGTTTCAGACAATGCTGTCATGGCCCTATCAATGTAGATGCACAAACCCATAGCCTGTTGTAGTTTTTGAAGTAAAATCGATTGCTTCACCTGTTCCTTCAGATAATCCTCCAGGGAAGGCTTACACAAATCACCTATGTGAACCTTACTCTGATGTATGCCATTTCTTAGAGTTAAAAGTAGTTTTTAAATGCTCCATCATTTATATTTTATTTTAAAATCCAAGATAAAGCCATCCTGATTATCAAGGTATTTGAGGCTGACATTGTCAAACATGATGCAGGATGACCTGTCCAGCAATCACCGTCTTCAGTACTGAGAGGAATGAAATTAAATTATACTGCTATAGTTATCCTCTCAGCATACAGTACTTTTGCACTTTTCATCTTGTGTGTAATCCAAATGAGCTGGTATTCATTCAGAATAATGTTAACACATTACTTTGCATTTTAAAATTGTTAGGGTGTTCTCAGGGACATGAATCAATTAACTCCCTAAGCTATTATGCATCAGCAGTCTCAGCACTGCTGATAGACAACTAATGATAGGCTCATTGGAATAATGTGGAAGCCATTCATGAGCCCAACTATATAGGAGTGACTGGATAGATGAACCTCAGTGCGCTGGAGCACATATACCCAATTTGAATAAATTTGGACTCTATTTTAGAAATTAATTGATTTCCAAATCATTTGGGAGAACAAGTTTATCCCAAATATAGATCCAGGTGGTGAAATCTTAGTTATTGAAGACTTGTTTGCAAGTGTACAAAGGCTGTAGAAGTGACAGTTGGGACAAGTGGAATGTACTTTTTGATATTTCATAAGGGGATTCCTTAATAAGAAATCCCTTAATAAGGAAACCCTTTACATTTTCTGTCAATCCACTGGAACTCAAGTCCAAATCAGCATTCTCATGGGTTTGTGTGATGTCATTCCATTTACTGGAATGAGTTACATTTTCACAGAAATGTGTTGTCTTAGTTGAAATAAAAATGCAAATTGAAAGAGTCACCCAAAAAAATTAACACTGTCCATTTCATCCAGAATATTGTGAAGTCTAATTGAAGTGATTTGTTGAAACATTAGCTTTTTTTTATTGTAATAAAAGAGATTTGGATATTATAAAACTAGAGGGGAAGAAATTACACTATGCCAAAATCTTCAGGTATATAGGTTATAAAAGTAAGCCTAACCTGGTGGTGCACACACAGCAGGAAGCTTACAAATTCAGAAACTTGCTGAGGTCACATAGATGAACAGTGGAATGAGAAACCAACATTGTATTTAACGTTATTAGGTAAGTAATGAATACAAATACCTTCCAGTCTTACTTCAAACGTAAATCAATAACACATTCTAGTGCTATGGTATTAAGGTAAACTGAAGTCATAACTCCAAAATGCTAAAGTTAATTAAAAATACTTTATTCGGTAGCTGAATGGAACCAGGCTAATAGTTTTACTCATTATAAATCTACCTTCACTCTTCACGCTGGATGAATTAGGTGCTCTCAAAAGCTTCTCACGGTATTTCTTGCATGACCATTTACATGATTATAAATTAATTGTGTATCTCTGTCTGAAACACTGTTAATTGCAA